GCCCCCCCCCCCCCCCCCCGCCATGTGCCAAAAAAACAATGTACCCTGACCCAACTAACCCAACTAATTAACCCTAAACCTCACACCTAAAACCCCTAAACCTCAACCCAGCAACCCTAAACCTGGGGAAGAGCCACGAAACCTCTGGAACATTGCATGACTCTTCCATGTCTGCCTGGCTTGAAGCGAAATCGCTCCAAATGTGCTTCAGCGTGCCCTCCTTGTCCAGGAACTTCAACGCCACGGCCAATGAAGTCAGCAGAAGCTGGGGGCCTTGCTCTAGTCATTTGTTTGGCTTCTTTGCTTTGTTGAACTATGGGTGTGACGACATCCTCTTCCTTCGCATTTTGGGGCCAAAGACCATACTATATGAGGCTCTTCGGCCTTTTTGAGCCTTAGGGCCATGTGTTACATGGCGTCTGGCAAACGGAAGCCCCAACATGCTCTTAACATGAAACCCTAAACTCCAAACCCCTAAACCCTAAACCCTGATCCTCTTAACATGCAGGGCCAGGTGCAACCGTGCTGAATGATGGAGATGGGCCATCCTCCGGTCCTGGGTTTTCTTCAGAAACCCAGCAGCAGAACAGTGACATCACATGGTATGCCTCAAACCTACCTATAGTCTCCATTGTAGTTCCTTTTTGTGGTTTAACCAAATCTATATTAAGGATCCAAACATGTAACCCCAAAAAGGAACTACAATGGAAACTTATAGGTAAACTCAAAAACCAAGACGAAAGACAACTCAGGCCAGCGCAAAAACCCAAACAGCGGATCCTGTGTAAGCAAAACCAAAATGTGGGAACCGAATTTGTATTCTAGATCCAAGAGAAACCTAGGAATAAAAAGGGTGCTTTTTTTGGTGTAGAGGCCTTTATAAGGGAACCTGAACCCCAAAAAAAGGAACAAGGGCCTACTCTGGGTCCTAGTATTGCATCGGTCTTGTACAGACTTATTTTGGCGCGAACACCCTGCGCCACTGTAACCAATTCGCTTCACTGCTAACGTAAGAACCTCGCAGTCTGGCCACTTCTTAGGCCATGCAACCAAACCGCGAACCCCCAAACCCTAAACTCTAAACCCTAAACCCTATAAACCCAAAACCTAAACCCCCAAACCCTAAACCCTAACACCCTAAACCCTGAAAGCCCAAACTAAACACCCAACCCCAAACCCTAAACCCTATGAAACCCTAAACCTTAAATTGAGCGTCAGAGGTTTGATGGTCGGACCGACGAACCCATACTTGCAGCCAGCATTGAATCGCTTTTGGTTCAGGTACAACCTGAGGTACGGGGCTTTCGTGCTTTAGGGGCTTTAGTGCTTTAGGGGTTTTAG